AGATCTACTAATTTTGCTGTCAAATACTCTACCTGCTGATGTATGCAAACCTCGATCGTAAGAAAAAAAGAACAATACTGGGTCATTGACAGTAACGATTCAAACCTTAGATCTTAAAACTTCACCATCTGCTCTACCAGCCGGGCAGAAGAAGAAATTTGGGTAGATATCCGTGAGGATTCAAACCTCATTCTATTTAATATCCCTTTATGACATTCTTACAGTAGAGTAGGAAGATATACTTCTGGGTTAAAGTAAACGAGGATTCAAACCTCAGGCTTTGCAATATCGGTATCATCTGCTCTACCATCTGAGCTGAGAGAAAAAAATATAGGTCGACCTTTGTAAGAGATTGCACCTTAAACGTGTCAAATAACAATTTCTAGTCGACTTTTATGGGGATTCAAACCTCAGATCTACCGATGTTGCTGTCACATACTCTACCCGCTGAAGTATACAAAACTCGATAAGTTATTTTCTCGTATGATATTAAGCATTGTATTTTGTTTTCTTCTCGAGTGTGTGATCAACAGGGTTCATTCCATTCCGAAGAGCTTTACATATAATGAGAGCTGCTTAGCTGTTCAGGTAAGGATTAAATCAGAGATATCGAGAGGTCATGAAGTACGATTGAGCTTTTCAAGTTATTAAATACATTATCTTAAGGTAAAGATATTAAATACAACTAAAATTTTGTATTAAACTGGTGGAGAGCTGCAAGTATATTTTAGCAATAATCATGAAAAGTAAATTTTTGAAAATAAGAAAGATTAGAGTCAGAACCCTTTTAAGTTCTACTTTTGTCATGTTTAGCATTTACAAAAGAATGAGTGTATGAGATTTGAATATTATGTAGACGTGTATCAGCGCAGGTCATTTACATCAAGATATCTTCTTTTTTTCAGCTCTAGGATGGTGTTTGAGTAGAAGACATTTCCCTCCTAAGGAGCAAGTTGGACATCAGAAAGTAAATGGTACCGTACGTAAATAAGATAGTAAAACAAAAAACATTATAATCTGAGTCCCTCGTGAGGATTCGAACCTTACGCAGTCAGCCCAAATACGGCGATCCCAGCTGGGTGGAGAGTTTCGTGCGCTCCACTCAGTGCTTGTTTGTTTTCGCGTCCCGAGGAGAGGTGCAGTGCAGATTGCCCATACTTCGGTCTCACCCTCTGGTACCTCGGCGTAAGCTCGTATCACTTTTGGTTTTATGTTTTTCATTTTTTGCTTGCTTTTTGTTTGATACGAGCAATAAGCCGTTAAATAGGTCTCAAACCCGGAGGCCAGACCCATTTCAGGTGTCGGCTGTAACCACCAAAGGACTGTGTCTGTATTCAAGCGGGGATTAAGTATTTCCTCTTTTTTTCGGCACATTTGATTTTCAAAGTCAAAGACATACAAACAGCTATAGTCAGTTTGTAGAGTATGTCCTTCATAACTTAACATTGATGAAAATAGCACTTACAGAACACAATAATGGCGACTGAAGCTTCCAGAGCTTACCTTGAGAGGGGCTACAAGAGTTAATTGTCTGTTATGTCGGTCCACAATTAGTTATCTCTCAAAAAAATTGCACATCACTTTGTCAGGTGAGCAGAAAATGAAACACAGCTAGGCCAACGTCGTTATGGATTCAAACCTTAAACCTCAAAACTTATAGTTATTGTTCTTATATCGTACTAAGCATTGTATTTTGTTTTCCTCTTGAGTGTGTGATCAACAGGTTATACAGATGCAGCGTTTGATTTTCAGGAAACAAACTCCTGATCAACTTAGGTTGGTTTTTTTAAGTTGGTAATCTATTTGTCCCATCAACATGCCTAGGCATATACTGAGACCTGCTTTGCTGTTCAGGTTAAGACTGGATGAGAGATCCTGCTGATCAAATGAAACTTTGTTTAAACTAACAGTATATGTGTATATGCTTCCTTGATATTACATTCCTCTTTTCTATCTTTTCCAGGTTTTTTTCTTTGCAGGGTTTGGCTCAAAACCCACCTTCTACTTTCTGCCTTTCTCTCAAAGGAAGCAGTTCAAAAGTTGCGATTTCAAAGCATCATGCGTTTGTCAACAAGTTGTCATCAACAAGGAAGTGGTGTAACCATTGCAGTGTCTATGTATGATCTGGTCATCGAAAGGGGAGCAGTTTTTAAAGCCTCAGTGTCATAATATGTATGATATGATCGTCAAAAAGGAAAATGATAAGTAATGATAAGCACAATAAAAGATAAATAGATCAATCTAAAAATTATGAATGAAAAAATAAAATAAATAATTAAAATAAATCAAACATAAACAATAAAAAATACCATACTTACCCTCTGCCCATACTTAAAATACTTTACATTTGTGCCTTCCTTATCCGAATGGTCTCTTGTTGACTTAACTTTGGGTTTCAAGACTTAATGATTCATTGATAATTATATGTTTAACGGTGCAATGAAAAACATTTTTATTGGTTTTGATACCGACCAACAAATTAATGCTATAACAATACTTCCGACCCCTGATTTAAGACTTTGGATCTCAGACATTCGATTTTTGAGTAAAGTTTTAATTTCCGACTTTCGACTCTTCTCACTTCAGACTTCGGATTTCGGACATTCGATTTCGGAAATATCGGAGTTCGGAGTTTTATGTCCGACCATTGACGTAAAATTTTCTCACTTCCGGTAACGGACCTCTAATTTACGACTTTCGACTTGTGAGCCTCATATGTCCTATGTCACTTGTCCGCTGACTGCGAACTTTCGATATCCGATTTTCAGTCCTTAATTGCTACATGTAGACCTTCGACTTAAATGTTCGATCTTCCTTATTCCGATTCGACTCAAAAGTACCATTTTCAACGTTCACTAAGTTGGAGGGTTCAACTTTCTTCTTTAGGCAGGAGCATAAGTTATGTAAAAAAAGAGAGGTACAGCAGTAACCGAGATAAGAGGGATAACAAGTTTAACAAGATAACAAGTTTACAAAGATTTAACCCTTTAAACCCAAAGAATGACCGGCATCTAATTTCTCTCACAGTACCACTCCTGAATCAGGAGAATAAAGAAAATGATGTACAACTTAAAGAGCTCTTGGTTAATAAACAAATTCTCCTAGTCAGCACCACAGGGGATGCACGGAGGACATAATGAATTAAGAATGTGCAGTGATGTTGGGGTGTCGAGGGTTAAACAAATAAGACAACAGTTTGTGTTATCTATAAACGGTTTATTCCATTTCCAAAACCATAAAAGTTCCTAAAGGTTAGACAGACAACCATAAAAAACCAAGACCATGTAATTGGGTGACATTCAGGTAACTAAGGCGACAGTGTTCAGTCCAAAAACAAAAATGTTAAATAGTAATTTCTAATGTTGTGCAGCGGTAACAGTTTGCAAACTATTAGGAAAAGAATGGATTTTTTGTGTAATTTTGATTTTATCAAATAAAAAAGGAAAGACTTTATGCAGTGTATTGAGTTTTTTGAGGGCCTCTCCCCCTTCAACCTTAATCTCTAGGCCAGCTCTGACACCTGCAAGCAATTAGAACGAAAAATAACGAGCTCATGTTAGCATCACGCCTTTAAATATGTTATCATGGATTTACACAGCGATTATTTTAGTGAATATTCTTGATGTCGACAACCTAACTGCAAATGTAGCCTCGAGAATCTGCTCTACCCGCCCTTGCGACAGTATTCTATCAACTCGAAACGCGCAGGCCAAAGTATTGATTAAATGGACCTTACTCTACAGAACACAGGGGTCAAAAGTCTGCGCATGTGTGACGTTGCAAAATTGTCTCATCTGAGTAACAAACAACCACACCGTGAAAGCATTTAATCAACGTGTTTCAGGGGGGTTTCAAGTTTTGGGCAAAGCTCAAAACAGTATGGTAACTCAACAGGATACCCGTACTTGTCAATACTTGAGTAATCTTTGTGTTCTAAAAGTCTCCTTTTTTTCCCTGTCCCTGCTGTTTCCATTTATAGATTTATGAGAACTTTTAAATTTTCTTTCGCTTATGTTGTGAGGCAGCGGTTGTTTCTTTCGAAGAGAATCGGTAATGAGACATTGAGAGTGGAAGGCTAAATGGCAGTTGCATATGCTCTGAGAGCTATCGTAAACGAGGAGTGCTGTTTATACATGTGTATATATATATATAAATGTATGTATGTGTGTGTGATAAAACTTCTGGGAGGCAAATATGATTTAGCAGTTAGCCTCTCAACATTTAAATTTCATTTACCTTTGCATGTGGGTATGTAGATAAATAACACTGCGATCGCCGCCATGACATTGAGAATATAATATTTTCAAAACGCACAAAAGCTTGTCGAAACTATATTACAGCAAATTGGATTCCTGGAAAGATCCCCTTAAAATCAAAAGAAAATGCATTTTCGCCAAAAGCGGGGGTTAGAGTTGTTTCATTATATTAAATAAATTACATGTAGAAGGTGCATCGTCGCAGCGATCAACTGGATTGTGATGATACAATGAAATTCTTTTCCATTATATGGAAATGAAAGCTTCTCGATAAATGAAGAGTCTGCCAATTTGTGATCAAATCTCGTTTTCGCTTTTTTCTCAGACATTCCAATTCACCTGTAAGTAAAAGATACTTGGACTATGAATAATAATTGTATCTAACCGTTATTTCACAAAAATGCTGGTGATAAAGGTGACCAACTCAAAGACTGCTGACAACGAAATTTTTTTTTAGCTTTTTCATTATTGTTAGTTTTTTTCCTTTGTTTCAACTTTCTTGTACTTATTGTTCTTCCTTTCTTTTTCGTTCCGTTAATTAAACATGATGAAACGATGGAGTTACCAATTAATCTGTGCATATTCGAGTTGTTTTCATTTCGCTGCAGCGATATTTTCAATTAAATTTAATTTGAAAGAAAAAAACCTTTAAACTGTTTGATAGCTTTAAGACCCACGGAGTCCTTTGTAATCTTTACAGCTGATAACATCCTGTTTTCTTTCCACTAAATCATTCTTTAATCGTTACAATCTTGTGAGGATATTTCTTGAATCAGGTGAGTCTAAAATTGGACTATATTTTAGAAAACGTAACGTAGGTTTTCGATCAGCGAATGCTAATACCTTTGCTAAATGGCCAAGAACTGACAACTTTGACCTAAAGTGAACAGCCAATCTGTTTTAAGAGTATGTTCGTTCATTTTTGAATCTACAATATTGATATGACCGGCCCTATTGACCATCGTTTTCAGGTAGAGGATAACCCTTGAGCTCAAAAGCAAATTTTACCATTTGAAGCAACTGACCCTACGACATGTAAAACAAAACTCGACAGTCAACGTATCATAATCTGTTTTTGGACCAACATGAGTGAATAACAGTTCCCATAGCCTTTTCATTGCTCCTTTCCAGTTTAGTGTAAAATGAGCTCTATCCTTTTCTTATAATTTCGTTTCTACATGTGACTTTCTTGTTTCCTCATTTGTTCCATGTTCAGCAACTCATTCATTTATTCGATAACTCCCTTTTAAACACCCATGCCCCTCTATAGGTTTCTATTTTTCATCTTAGCCTTCACGGCTCGAACCCCAATTGATTTCGGTGTGGAAGTTCAATGCGCAGAGTCGGGGTGGAAAGTTTGGACTGATGAATATTCCTTCTCTTTGTTAGCAAATCATGAAGGTGTTGCTCTTAATCACTGCAATCCTATTCGTCCAATTGTCAATGGGAACAGACAACAACTTTTGTAAACATAGTAAGTACACTTATGTAAGATCACTGCAAAATTTCTAACACGCCCCTACTTAAAAATAAGCAGATTTAAATCCAAAAAAAGACTATTGAAGCCTCCGTCCCTTTAGTATCTTAATGCAGACCCTCATAACTAAAGGAAGCATGCCTAAGAATTGACTTTTTTCTAACTAACGAGTCATTTGGTCCTAAAATTTAAAACTGTAAGGGTGTGATACGCAAGGTAATTTGGTAATATCAACAGAGTTAATAGCATAAATTGGCCACCGTTAAGATTTTCAAAGCTGACATTTCGAGCGTTAGCCCTTCGTCAAACCTTGTTAAAAAGTTGCAGCACTCCCTACAGAGGGATGGCGCAGTGGTGAAAGCGCACGCCCCCAACCGTTGTGGCCCGGGTTCGATTCCTGGGTCTTCCGTTTTCCTCCCTCCGCAAACACTACCATTGCAATTTCAATTCGGCCTGAAAACAGTATACAAGAAGAGCCACCTCTTGAAATCGTGAAATGTCCACTGTCACATCCCATTGTTATTATTTTAAATATTATTTATCACGAATAATATATAATTTCATTTTTCAAGCCCCTCTTCCAAAGATTAAGCTCAACAGCTTCACTGTCAGTGATTGTGGCAATGCTCCTGGACAAATATTTGAAGTAAAAGTATCCAGTGTGAAGACCCCGATTTGTCTGAAAGGCGATTTTCACATCTCTGGGCAACATCCAGGCCGGTTTTCTATCGTGTACAAGGCAGCGATTTCTGGGAAAATCATGGGTTTTCTTCCTTACGCTTTAGACATCCCACTTTGCAAAAATCCAGACGGTGCGAAATCATGGTAAGTCACTTGGACACCTAACTGAACTGCAACATGTTGTAAAACAGTTAGCAAGAAAGTTTCCAAACTGTTATTTTAATTAACTCGCTTTGTCACTCGCTTTATCCTTTCACCCTTGATTCGTAGAAAATTTTCATTGTCAGTTTATTTAAAACAATAAAATAGATTTATGCCTTTACATTGGTGAAGAAAATTATCATACAAACTCTACTTATAAAGTGCACCCCCTTCCCTCCCACTTCTTTACTTGTGATGAAAGATACACCTTAAACCAGCAGATTGCTTCGTTTCTCTTGCTTCTCTTGATGGGACCTCCGATGTTAAAAATTTTTGTGTATCGTACATTCAATTTAATTTATTTCCTTTTACGATTTATTTTCGGAACTGTAAGTAATAAAATGCACCAACGTTTAGGGTGCTTACCTACAGCTACAATTCCTGCTTTTCATAGTTACGGGAGACAGGAGGCTAGAATTGCATCAAATATGTTGTTCTTGTGACGCTGTGATACTGAAAGTATGGTGTGTTTTTTGGGACAGCTCTTATCCCAAGACCATCCTCACTTTAAACTTTCTAAAATTCCCAATTTTCTTTCGGGGAAAATAAACGTTTCTTTATCCTGAGATTGGTGAATGCTGTTGAAATTCTTGTAAACGAACACCGTCCAGATATAGATAGAAAAAGTTCCAGTGAATTTGCTCCTTGCCACTTGCAAGATGTTATTGTGTGACAAAAGAATTTACATAGAACGTTAAAAATGGAATGTTCTCAGGCGGTCGCCAGCAGAACTATCCGCCTATGAAATTATTTAACATTATTTAATACCTCCACTTGGTTAATGACCAGGCGATGTCGTTACTCTAAATAAATAACACGAGTCCTTCTTAAAGTTGATTTATTCTCTTGAAGTTATCGGACAGTTTAATTCCAAGAGTATCCTCAGTTTAAACTTTCTAAAATCCCAATTTTCTTTAGCAGAAAATGAACGTTTCTTGATTCCGAGACGGGTCAAAGCTTTTGAAATTCCTGTAAACGAACACCTTCGAGACGTAGATAAAAAAGAGAGTTCCAGTAAATTTGCTCCTGGCCGCTTACAAGATGAAGGTTAAAAATAGAATTTTCTTAGGCGGCCTCCAGCAAAACTATCCGCCTATGAAATTATTTAACGGGAATACCTCCACTTTGTTTCCTTTCCTGAAAATGACTAGGCGATGTTGTTACTTAATTAAATTAGACTCGAGTCCTTCTCAAACTCGATTTTTTTTCTTGAAGTTTACAGACAGTTGACTGCAACGAAGTAAAAGAGCTTCTTGGAGGTACAGAACAATTTTCAAGCGAGATGTATTCTTGCGTTTTTGCTTTACTCTTCGCTTACATTTTTGTTTGATACTTTTGCTAGCTTGTTTGTTCGTTTTTATATTCTCTGGCTAATTTGTTGGCATGCTCGCTTGTTTGTTAGCTTGTTTTTGATACTTACTTGCCCTCTTGTTTAAATGCTTGTTTGCATGATTGCTTGGTAGGGCAATTTTAACTAAGAGTCGAAAGTAATCAGAGACTGCATTGATTTTACTTTACTTCGCTCTACAATTGGTCCAGATAACTCGCGCCACTCTTTCAACCAATCAGATGCAAGCTTAGACCGATTAGGACTTGATTACCCGTGTTTTCCCCCGCTTTAGAATTTTGTTGTTTTTACTTTGAGTTTTCAATTGCTCTTAAAAGGCGATTCCTATCCTCTGATTGGCTGTTGCGGTTAATTTTTGTTTTGCTTTCACGATACTCAATCGAAAAGCGCTCTATTGTTTGAATTGATTTTTCCTCTCGCTTGCTTGTTCACTTGCTGGCATATTTAGATACTTGCTAGCTTCTTTTCATTAGCCTTATTAGTTATTTCCTTGGTTGTTTAGTCCACGCGTAATGCCGGCAGTCATCACTCTCTTTTTTCATCCCCAGATCCAAACGCAAAGGTTGAAAACCATGCTTGCATCTTAAAAACTGGTGACATTAAATTTTTTATCATGGCAAACATGAAGGGACCTTTACAAGTTCCGTCAGCTGTCGCAGTGAGTAATTACTTTGCAGAAAATTTGTAAGGAGTAGAAATGTGTCACTCATTCTTGTAGACTTAAAAACAAGCCTATTTATTTCCAATTTATGAAACGCCATTTGCCAGGTGTGGTCAAACAATTACCCACGTGATTTCAAATTGGTATGAAATGGGTTTCCTTCACTTTGATCATTTCTAGGCAAGTGACTTTTTTTGAAAAACGTCCAACCCGTGATAATTCCTATTTCATTTCTAGTGCGCGCCATATGAAGATTCAAACAGGTTTAGCCAACTTTTTCCTTGAGAGGAGACGATTCAAATCCTTAGGGTTCTCTAGCTAGTACATGACTTTCAGTTTGCATAATATGGCAGAAGGGGTATTCAACTAAATTATCACCAAATGTAACAGTGGTTTGAATGACTGTCAAAGTATGAATATCATATATGAGAATTGCAAATTAATAACAACTACTTAATTCAATCTTATGATGTTAGCTTGGAGATTTGGCTTTGGATCAACTAATGGCCTAATTTATATTTTTCTTTATTCTCATCCCATGTCTCCTTGATATTGTATTGATATTGTAAGGAGAAATTCTGTCTTGGTCACTCGTGCGGGTCAAAGGGTTAAGCAGTGTTCATAATTGCGAAGATCACTGTCGCATTCATTTCAAATTTATTTATCATTGTAATCCTCGCAAGTGAGCCGAAATTTAAGCGACTGCCGAAAAGAAGCCTGAAAAATTCAGGCTTCGACAGGATTCGAAAAACTGTGCCATTCAGATACTGGTCGGCCGGCTATTACCAACTGACCCAACTGAGCTACGAGGCCGCACGTTAGGGGCGAGGCAATTTTTAGAGGCTTCTTATTTCTTAATTCTATCCTTTTCCTTTTAGGCCGGAATATCGAATACCAAAGTGAGCACTCAGGTGGATGCAACAGATATTCACCTGCCAAACAATTACGTCAAGATTGCATGTATCGGCCAGGACATGGGAATTAAGATTAAATCTTAACACTCTCAGGAGCTGTGGAAAACATAGAGCAGTTGAGAAGTGTGTTGTTCTAAGAATAAAAGCACTGAATTGAGTTCTGGTCTTATGTTGTGCTGTATTAGGACAAGTAAACTTATACGGTCAAGCACCAGTTGTCAAGTTAGCCAATGCAAGGAGTTTCGTCAATAAACTGAGACGCCAAATAAAGCGACTAATAAATAAGAGAGGGGGTGCTTGGTGGAGGGGTTGGAAGTTTCCTCTAGTATTTCTATTTTTTTCCGTTTTCCTTTATTTTTTCGCGCATGAATGCTTTTATGTAATGAAAAATACACCAAAAAAGGTTCGAAATAAAACATCTAGCGATAATTTGGACAGGAGAGTCCTTAGTCAATATAACCCGCCAGGAAATGATAGGTCATCACTCGATAATATTCTACCAGCGAAAATTTCCAATTTTAAACGAGAAAAGCGATCTTTAGTAGTAACACTTTCTTTACGCGACTTAAAGAGCTTTTTTCTATGCGAAAGGAAATCGGAACCGCGTTGAAAACAACAAGAAATGTTTTCTCTATTACCTATGCCTAAAATATTTTTGTTTAATCGCAGTACAGATTATGGAACTGTACCTAATTCAGAACGGACCGAAAATTTAAAAAAAAAAAATTTAAATTCTCCTCAACATCTTTCGAGATGGATGAGGCTCAGAAACCAAGTCTTTTTTTTTTCTGAGAACAAGACCAGAAAAAACAAATAAGAAAAGGAGATGAATGAAATTATTTTCATCAGTCAAGCCCTTCGTTCGCTTGTTTTGATTTATCTAGAATTTGGCTTTCTCTTTTGTTGTAGTTGTTGTCGTTATATTTTCGCCCCTTTTCCGGCTCGGACGGGGAAAGTCTGATTTGAGTGAACAATTTCCAGCTTCGTTGCTTTAAAAACGTCGTCAAATTTGAGCCAAGTAGGCTAAGTGGTGAAAGAAAATTTTGCGTAAAACGTATTCATTAGCGCGGCAGGTTGATTCTCCCTCCCTGTACCTGTTCTGTATCCATGGTAACTTGGGTTAAGTCGAGGAAATTATTTTGCCACTTTCAGCGAGAATGTAAACATCACCTTGTTTCTCTTTTCTCGTCATTTTGAACAAAAAGCGCAAAAATAACATGCTTTAGGGCACATTGTTGCATCCTGGCCGTAGGTTTTATTGCAGTTTCCATTTTATATGACTTAAGCAATATATTGAGAGAAACAAGGCCTGAAATAGCGACGATAAGTATTTTATGTTTTGGTGACTCTCTCACTGCGGGCAGTATGGACACGAGTTATACACATCATCCTTATTCTACAAAACTACAAGAGTACTTAAACGTTCGCGACCGGAGAATGCTGGATGAAACCGTAAAACCAGTCTTCAAAGTTTTCCCCGCAGGATTACCAAGCGAAAGAGCTAAACCGCGCTTGAAACAACTTCTTCAAGATTTAAAAATAACTTACTACCGGGTGATTATTCTTGGAGGAACAAACGACTTAAAGAAATACGAAGAGAATTCTTCATTCGACTTTTACGATGTACTGTCTATTTTTAACGCACTGGTGAAACTTCATAACGTATCTCATACATTTGGAGCGAGGTCAGTAGCTGTCTCTATTCCAGAAGTAGAATGCGAGATATCAGAAACTTGTCCTAATTTTAAAGCTCGTAACAAAATTAACGAGCCTCTCCAAAGTTTTGTCGCCCGTAACAAGAGGTATATGGTTCTAACCGACTTCGCAAACGAGATCATGTTTCGTTCCCGCGATCAGAATCTTTGGAGTGGCCCAGTACATTTCTTACCTGCGGTGTTCACTGAGGTCAAGATTAGAACAAAAATCTCCCGTTACTGAATGTTTAGTTTGTTGCGTTTGTGTTTTGTTTTCTATGAAAGAATCTATGATAAGAATAGATAGCTGGTTCGTTTCCATTGCCATGACATTTTATTTCTTAGCACTAAGTGCGGCGAGGGTTCCTCTTGGACAGTGCTCTGGAGTTTCGTTGCTGTAGAGTAATTCCCTACGAAATTTGTCGTCAAAATCTAACTTTTGACGACACAATCAGCTGTATCACGAAGCCGAGAAGTCATGGGGAAGTTGCGCTGCAAGTTGCCCCTCTCCTCAGAGATTGCAAAGGCAGAGACTATCGTCGTCGATTCCGCGGTCAAACGGAAAACGAGTGAGTTTATAGTCATCAGGTTCAAGTTAATCTCAAATAGGGCTTTTAATAGAGAAACCTTCTTTAGTTTAAGTGCAGCATTGCCATATGACCTATATCGCTCGATGGCAAATAACTGACACCAGCATTGTAAATGAATATTTCGTATGCATCGACTTTCACATAGCACTTGGTAACGTTACCATCCAATTCAATAAAATCTGTGTTTCTCTATTTAGCTCATTTCATTGCTGTTATCACAATGACGTTGCTACTGTTGCTACTTTTAATTTCTTGAGGGCAGGGTAGAATTTCTCCTTACTATATCTATACAATATCATGCAGACAAGTGTTGAGAATAAAGAAGAATATCAATTATGGAATAACTAATTGCTGCGATACCAAATTCTCCAAACTAACATAAATAGACTCATTTGTCAGACAGTTAGGAGAATTACAGATGCGATCTTGGGAGTTAAAGGGGGAAACTCATTCAGTCATTGTTATCTTGCTTTGCACTCTACTAAAGCATGCTAATTTCAAGCACGCTGATTTCAACCAGTCATATACTTTGGTAAAGTGCGTTGACGTATTTCATTGGTTGATTGTCCATTTTACAGTTGCGAGTTTGGTTGCCAAGCTTTTGAAGAGGAGTGAGGCTAAGGGTGACCTTATGATGATACAAACGTTGCTGTGTTTCAAATATAAATTACTTAGCTAACTAGATACTAGTCTCTATCACATAGCAGTTACTTTCCGCCTCACTCCAAATCAGATGCTTGACAACTAAGTACACGACTGTGAAATGGCCTATTGCTGAGCTTTGTTTACAAAGAACAGATATTAAATGAATTAATGGCGGTAAGAGGTTAGCTCGGGCACCATATACTTTTATGAATATTAAGAGGCGACTACTTGAGTTTTATTTCTTTTAACATCCCAAAGCTACCCTTGCGAAATGGCTTTTGGAATTCCTAGGAATTCCTAGGAATAAAGGTGTGAATTTTCACGGTAAATTCGGACTGGGAATTCCTAGGAATTCCTAGGAATTCCCAACCATAACAACTCTGGTTCTAAAAACCTAGAAATTCCCAGAAATTCCCAGAAATTCCAAGTTTATAGCCAACAGGACTTGGAATTCCTAGGAATTCCTAGGAATTCCAACTCAGAGAACCAATGACTTTCCCTGAAAAGCTGTAAATCTAAAAAATTCCTAGGAATTTCTGGGAATTTCTGGGAATTTTTGGGAATTTTTGGGAATTTTTGGGAATTTTTAGGAATGTTTAAGAATTACTGGGAATTTTAAGCAAAAATTTGAGGCTAATGATATAAAATAAATACTTTAAATTAAAAAAACCCAGCTAAAATTCAAGTATTCAATGAAATTTATTTAGAAGCTTAATTAAGGCTTACATGTAAAATATTTTTGATTAATTATTAACATCAATGTGTGGTAATATTAGGATGGAATTTGATTTATTTTTCTTTTCTTGAAAACTTCATACGGATTAATCCTCAATTACAGCTATTCATATAAAATAGTTCTAATCAATCATTAAATTTGGTTTGACACCAATTGTGAATAAAATCTGTTGATTCTTTTTCATAAAATACAATATCTTAAGTTATATTTATATAGTTATATTCTTGGGAGTGAAGGGGCTAATTACAGACAAATAAAATTGATTTTTTGATTAAAATCTTGTTGTAACTGTAACAATAAATTAGAAAGAAGTTATCCTAAACTGCAAACTTAGCTGCTGTTTGTACTGTTTGTATTTTTTTTTCCTGGGCTCACAATGAGTTGGCCTTGAATGAGGTTGTCAACAAGAACCTTGACCATTTTGTATCTGGATTCCTTGACATCTGAATTTGAAAAAAAATAATATATTAAAATATGTATGTTTAAAGCTCAGACCAGGCTTTTAAGATGGTTATGAGGAAAAGGGCATTCATTGGATTCTCAAATTGAGAAATCTCTGTTATATTGAGTGACTTTTATATTGGAGTTAGTACATCTCTCTCATGGATTTTACTAAAAAAGGGCTGAATACATTATTTTGTTTTTACCAAGGAGGGCTTCTTTATGTTCTAAGGTTTGTTATGAATCTTGAATGTTCCCAAACGTGACAAGAGGAATCTTGAAACCTTACTGATAGGTTTATTTCATTGTAAAGCATAAGCTTAAGAAACTGCGGCATGCAAGTGACCGATTCGATTCTCAGAATTATTCTAGTTTCAGTTGCGCCGAGCGTTATGTAAGCTTAATTCAACCCGCTACATCTATTCTTTTATAAGATTTTGATCACAACGAATATCGCAATTTTTACTCACCACAAACTTTCAAAATCGTAGCTTTACAGATGGCCACTCGACCCTTGTTTGTACCAGTCAATATGTCAACTGTTGTCCCTTCTTTTAACTCCACGGCGCCAACGACTTTCTTCTCTTTTACAACACTCACGCTATTCTCGTTTTCCCATTGAACCACAATAAAAGCTATCTTTAGAAATGTTATATTAAGCAAAACAGTTGAGAAAAGCGATCAACCGATGAAAAGTACATTCAAAGATGAGCGCCAAATGGAGTCTTCTTTGTTTCCGATCACGGGCATGATCACGTGGATCTTTTAGGACTTGTCATTGGCTAGCAAAGTGAATCCGCTGGCTTGCCGATTGCAGTGTTAAGAGAAGCGCCCAACTTTATTCTGACTTCTCCGACCGGTTCTCTGCTTCTAGAAGATGGATAGCTTGGTGATATAAATAAAGATGTGAGCTCACTCTATGTAGAAATAATCGACAAGAATCGATCGTATTACAAATGCACGATTTGTGGCCGAAAGTTGTCGAGGAAACAAAGACTCGAAACTCACTTGAGTTGTGTTAATGGCAAAGGTGAGAAATAACACAAGCCAATCACAGTTTTGAATGCGACTACAAATCGTCTTTTACCCTCATATTTATAAAAGAAG